TAAAAATCTTTGGTACAAAAGCAAATAGTCTAGAATGGAACATCTCAACCAACCAAAGGAAGCAGACTCCAGCAATGGAAGGTCAATTTCAGAAAAAATTGTCCCAGCATATCGCTCCTTGATACTATCAAGAACATGCTACAGTCAACAAATCAATGTCATGCATCAAAAGATTATTAGTAAAGTCTATTGAGCAAAGAAAAATAGTAAAGGTTCAAACAAGCACCATAGGCTTCATATTGATAGGTTGATAGTTAAAAACTCACAATGTGCTCGTCAATACCAAATATGTCGTAATTCCTCTTCCATAAAGGATTTGTCAGCAGCTCAAAAGCATATCAAATCTGGAAATCAGACCACATAACTTAAATATTTACAATACTGGAAGTACTCAAGTTAACTCAAGTAGGATTTGATATTGGTGGCAACAAAACCACATAATTTCTAGACAAACCAAACCAAACCAAACTAATCCAATCAAGTGGTATTGGCAACATGAATTCTTTTTCATCATTCTACTTTGTCAAGGGCTATATGCTCAATTAAATTAAATTAAATTAATACATATCATTTTTTACTATAGCATCCCATATCAATTTAGGTTTGGGGCTCTCCCTAACATTTCTATTTATGCTGATCATATCACAATCTGTTACTATTGCATCTAGACCCTTCATTGTACATGATCAAACCATCCTAGCATATTCTCTTTCAACTCATCTTAAATCGGTGTTACTCCGGTCATTTCATGAATATATTCAATTTCTAATTGTGTACTTCCTAGTCTTACCACACACATTCTTCTAAGTATATCTCTATCTCAACTACACTCATTTTATAAATGAGACTAAATTTCTTACAATTTAGCCGTGATGGATAGACTTTACGGGTAGCCATTCAATAGTTGACATGTCAAACCCATTTTGTTTTTTACTTATTTTCAATTTCTCCTCTAGTTTTTGTTTTCTCTCTCCCAGATTTCTCACTCAGTTCTTTCAAAACATCTTATTGATAATATGATCTACATACACACATAAAAATCTGACTGACAATCTACAATGTTCAGACTATATTATTTATCTGATGCAACTAACGGAGGGGGCATACAATCTTAAGAATACTTTATGAGCAAGAATATATAGAAGCTATGATATCATGGAGATCAAAATTGCAAAGGATTGCAAAAAAATAAAAATAAAAATAAAAAAATAAATTTTTTGCAGTTGATAATGATGCAATTTCCCATCCTTCCATGAGTTTGTAATTGCAGAATCTTATAGATCTTATCATAAATTCCATCTTCCATAAAATAATACAATAATTTCAACACAAAACCCAAAATCTTGTAGAGCTTGCCATAAATTCCATCTTCCATGAAACAGCTACAATAATTTCAAGACAACACCCAAAACCAAATCAGTTTTTCTAGATTGGAACTCAGGAGCTCCGTTTCTAGCTAAAACATGCGTGGCTTTTCATTCTTCCAGTCACCAGATCTGACTTCCATACAGCCTCAATCGATAGCTTCTTCATCAGCACATCACTACCAATAATCAAGATTCTTCGTTTTGATTGCTTGGTTTGTACCATTGTATAGAGAGGGAATGAAGAAAAAGCATCGAGAGAAAGAACGAGAGAGAAGAGAAAACCTGAGTGGTGGACATCTCTTCAATGGCCAACATAGCATCTGTTGAGTGGCCGCCCATAAACTAAGTGGTTTACGGCTAAGCCGTGTAGAATTCATTCTCTTTATAAATATGTTGTTTTAGTTGCCCAACATTCTATCTTGTAAAGTATCACTAACTTCATAGTTCTATGAAATTTCCATTTCAATTTTGTTTATATTCATCGATCACATAATATGTCAGTAGCACTTCTGTACTTGAGCCAACCTACTTTATTTTATGGATCACATTATCTCTAACCTCTCCATCTTAATTAATAATCAAACCTAGGTTAAAAAAATGTCCACTCTTTGTAATTTGCTAATTTTTAATTTTCACTTCATTATTTCTTCTACTATCGATACTAAAGTTACATTCCAAATATTCATTTTTAGCTCTACTAATTTAAACCCTTTTCACTTGAGTGTTTCTTTCCAAGGTTCTATTCTAGTGTTAATTTCTTCCTTAATTTCATCCACTAGAACAAACATCATCTACGAACAACATACATCATGGGACATCATACTAAATGTATACAAGACATCATGCTAATTAAATATATATAGTTAATTCATCCATAACAAAGGCAAATAGATAAGAGCTCAAAGTTGACCCTTGATGTAATCCTCCAGTACTTGGAAATTCACTAATTTCCGCTGCATGTAATTATAGTCACAACCTCATCATATATGTCCATTATCGCATCAATGAATCCCTTGGTCACACCCTTTTTCTCTAACACCCACTATATCACATCATTAGGCACCCTATCGTAAGGTTTCCTTAATATATAAATATCATATGAACAGAGATGACTTCCACGTTGAGTAACTCTTTCGAACTGGGCATGGTGTCATATCTGTGTTATGTGACAGAAAGTAGACATGATAATTAAGACTTCATAAAGCATTAGATTTATAGATCAAACACCATTATAATAAAAAATAAATAAATAAAACCTTATATTTCAGTAAACAAAATTTTCAAATATTTTGAAGAAGCAACCAAAAAAAAATTTAAATGTAGAATTTGATCAAATTTTCAAAATGACTCATAAATGAGCCACAGATTGTATAAGTAAGAGAACTTTTATAATTTGACTGGCTAAGCATTGGGATATCTTGTAACCATAAGGAAATTTATCAAAGGAGATCCTTTCCCCTTGAATAATTTCATTGTCATAACAGATTCCAGTAGTAACAAAGGGGAAATTTATTCTTAATTTCAAGAAGCAATATCAAGTGCAATGCAAAGCATCTGTACAAATTATCACATGGCTCAACTCAATAAAATATTATGCTTCCATGGATCTTATTTCATGAATATTTCATCTGGGACAAGGTCCAAAGTTCAATCAAAATAAACTAACATGTTTTTTCCAGTCCTTTTAGGTCCTTTCTTTTTATTCCCTTCATTAGGCAACACCTTCAAGACATTGCTCTCTCTAGTTGGCACAATTATTGGCCTTTGTTTCACATGATCAGCCAATCTAAGTGTGTCATCCTATTCCAATTGATCCTACCACTACCTTCCAGTTCTATACTTCTGCTGTATTACTACTCATCCATCTTGGAAAATTTATTCCAATAATTTCATCGTGAAAAAATTTTGTTTCTCAGCTTCCAATAAATAATGTGGTCAAATTGGAGAAGCATAACAACAGGAGAACATATATACAATACAACGATATTTCACACGACGTAAAAATATATAACAATATTACAGGATGTTCAAAACCCACCCCCCACGTGAGACATACATATATATGCATAAACATACACATGAAACTGATTTTGTAAATCGCCTTGAGAGCAAATGGAGACTTACAAACCTTGATAAACTTAGTTATAGGAGGGACTTCTGTGGCTGAATTCCTGAATCAATGCATTTGTTAGTTTAATATAAAAATATTTGGTATAACACCAATTAGAGAAAAAAAAAAATACCATATATACAGTTAGCTACATATTTTATTAACGTCTTCTAGAAAAGATCAGCATCAACTAAGCAAGAAAAGTTACTGTGGTTAATTCACAACAATGCATAATCGTGTCAACTAATATAATGACACAGTGATATAAACACACTCATATTGCAGCAGAAAAAGAAATTAAAAACAAACAAACAAACAAAGTAGAACCTTGCGTATATGACAATTATTAAGCAAATTAGTCTGTTTTCTATACTGGTAGTGAATCAGTGATCATAGACATCCATTATTAAACTAATGCTTCAACTTTTAAAGTGCACAACTTTAACCATCATCAAACTTCAGAACCTGCAAAAAACGAAATTGATGCTTACAAGATTTAACTTCTAAATATTTCCACAAGTCAATTCTCCTTCTGAATGAGAGAAATATAACCAGTTCAAAGCTTAAATATAGTTATTCACCCAAAAACAAAGGCTTAAATATAGTGGTCATTATTGTTAAGAGTTGAGAAATCATTATCGTTAAGAGTTGAGAAATAAGACTGGTCACAAAAGTAGTTGAAAGGAAGTGCAAATGATGTAGTTCTTATTCACGAAGACAAGAATGCTATGCTCAATTTTAGCAAGTTGAGTAGCTGTAGGGCTGAGGAAAGTATGTTAAACAGAACTTTATAATTCAGTAGTTGAATTTAGGGGACCAGAATAGTGTTTTTTACTTTAAAGCTATAAATCAGAGAAGAGCTAGCCATAGAAATGTGGGAATAACAAAGTTGGGTGGTTCCGTCATACTGATCCAAATGAAGTAAAGACATTGTCTCATTTTTGGATAAACTTTTAGGTGGCATAAAAAACGATATCAAGAAGCAACTTACTGAATGTCAAAAATGTGAGTTACTCATGTATGTTGCTCCTGCAGAGATGAAGCACTATGTTCTCACTGAAAGATGAAAAAGCTCCAACAGCTGATAGATACAATGCTATGTTCTTTAAAAAAAGCTTGGTCCATTATAGGTGATGATGTGATTGCTTGGATATTTTTTTTCTTCAGTTCTGGTGCTTGCTGAGAGAAGTTCAATCTATAGTGATTAATTGGATCGGCAAGCTGCCTAATCCTTCAAATCTAAGTGATAGAAGTATCTCTTATTGTAATATCATTTATAAGTGCACTGCTAAAATTGTAGCAGATAGACTTAAAATGGTTCTTCCTTCAATTGTGTCACATTGTCAAACTGCCCATTATGGAGGATGGAGAGGATTGCTGATAATGTGCTGCTTTCTCAGCAAATATCATCGCAGTGCTATTGGCAGGAAATGTGCTTTGAAGGTGGACTTAAGAAAAGCCTATGATTCAGCAAGTAGGCATTCCAAGCTCCAGACACCTGATGGGACGGGGTTTCCTGAAAAGTTTATCAGTTGGGTCAAGGCATGTGTTACTTCTCCCAGCTTTTTAATTAATAGCAATGATAATGAACTAAAGGAATATTTCCCAAGTGCCAAAGGCCTTAAACAAGGGTACCCATGTCACCCTACTTGTTTGTTTAGGCTATAGAAAATCTAACAAGTATCCTGAGAAAGAAGATAACAGTGAGTGACTTCAAGTACTCAAGGTATGCAAAGGAAAGGATTACTCATTTGACTTCCACTTATACATGCCCTTTTGCAAGGCTGATGTGAGTTTTATTACTCTATTTAAAGAGGCTTTGACTGTTTTCCAGAGTTTGTCTGGTTTAACTCCGAATCCTGCTAAGAATGATGAGCCTTCTAATATGGCGTTTCTAGCTTAATTTCTTCCAAGTTCATGGCAGAGTATTGTAGACGTCTTGTTGAATTATAGCCAGAGTTAAGTCCTGGACTAATGTATAATCTTGTGCTGGCAGATTTCAATTGATCAAAACCTATGTACATAGACTCAATCACGGGTGTTGAGTGTGGATATGTCAAATTCATATAATTCTCATGTCAAGGACACCTAGACACGGCTATATTTCATATATGTTATTTTCTTAATATTTTAAGGATAAAATGATGTTTAAAAACTAAAATAGAGTATTAATATAGAAAATAGAAATCTTATGCATGTTACTATAATAAACTCAACAACTTATACATACTTTTTGAGTGCATCTCCAACTAGGCATATCGGACATATCCCATACCCTTTCACAACTATTAACTGTCCAACACATATACTTCATAAATTTAGAAGAGCCCATATAATATTGATCAAGACAGTGTTATTCTCTATTCAAATATACTAGTCCTCTATGTTACATGGACTCTTCAAAATAAATCAAATACCCGTGTCGAACAAGGGTATAGAATATGTGTTTGACACTTTTCAATGGATACTTCTTATATAATTATATATAACACTATTATTATATATACATATTGTTATATAAAAAACGTCTTTTTGACACTGTAAGTTACATATAGCACCATTTTATCTTACATACTTGATTAAAAATATAAAAATATGACATTTTTTTGCAGAATCCACGTACCCTTAAATTTATGGTTTGATGAATCCTACTTCTAGATACATATCCACATCCGACACCCGTACCCAAGTCCATGTAACATAGAGTCCAGTATGTTTATTCTCCAAAAGAAAGTTCACTTCCATAGAAAAAATTTTGCGAGCCTTTCTATGGAAATCTATGGAAAGGAGTGGATCTCACCTCTACCATAGCCAAGATTGCTGAAGATTAAAAGGAGGACAAACATAAAGAACAAAATAAAGCTCAGTTAGTAGGCATTTATGAAATTTTTTTTTAATTACTCACGTTGGATCTTTGATTTGGGCAAATTGGTATAGATCACAACTTTAAAAATTCTTGAGGACCCACTTCGGCTTGGAGAAGGAAGTATTTTTTTATTGGCAGCAAAGCAAATCATATTAGAGAACATAGAGAGGGGCACAACCCTTCTGCAACCAAATAAAAAAGAAAAGTCGGTAAAAACATGAAAAAATGCAAAAGATAGACCCAATACCCCTTATAACAAAAAAACGCACCTACAAAAAAGAATTCTAGGTACCCACCCACCCTTAACTTCCCCAAATTTACCCCGAATGGGACAATGTGGTTGTGATTGAATTTATGTGGTGTGGGGTCCATGTATAGAATAAATCTCAACCACAAGATGATAATTCTGGTAATTTCTGGGTAGTTAAGTTTGGTTTGTAGTATTATTGGGAAAAAAAAAATCCACTTCAATTGCTAAGAAGACATCACTATGGTTTAACAAATGGTTGCCTCCTTTTTTTTCTATTCTTTTCTTCCAATTGCCTAAAAAAATCCACTCCAATTATATTTGATTCAAGTATGCGCAAAGACGTTCGTTCATGTTTCCTCTATTATTTCAGGCAATTGCTGGAAAGGCCAAGTGCAGAGTCTATCAAATTGATAGGTTAAAAGAGAGATTCTCGCTTACTTCTTCCCTTGCAGTAAAGACTCCAAACAAGATTGTATGGATATTTAGTGTTCAAGTTGTTTGAAGGATTTTCACATCTTAAGGTTCTAGGGTAGATTAGAATAAGCTTGTGTGGTCTCACAAGTCTGTTCCCCGCCATTCTTTTGTTTTTATAGTGAAATAAACAGGGGTCAAGCCAATCCAACCCAACGGTTCCACAATTATATGTTACTTTTTCTTTAACAATAAATATACACACCTTTTAGGTTTTAAAATAAAGAGTTTTCACTTTATCTTTCTTCATATTCTACTCTATTTAGAGTTCATAGGTCCACCTTTTGAATGTCAAGTGGATGAGAATATATTATATAAAAATAACACTGCCATTTACATAAATATATTTCATTATGGGCCTGTTTGATTCTAGTATTAGAGCATAGGATTGGATTGTTGATCCAGTGATATACACATTCCTACGTTTGGATGGCATAAATGGTGACCGGCTTAGTAATACATAGGATTTCTAATCCCATAAAATCGTGGGATATTCAATACCATATGGAAGTAGGCATTATTATTAATAATCCACTAAGGACTTGTTTGATTAGCAAGGATTAATAGTGAGGGTATTAACAATCCATGGGATTAGTGTAGGATTAGTTATCCAGCTAGATTGCTAAAATACATAATTTCCTCTTATCCAAGTTTATTTTCCAATAGATATAAAAATTTATAATCCCAATTATATGTATAAGTTGTAAGATTAAAAAAATCATCAATTTTGTTGGATAGAATAACAATTGGAATCTAATCCGAATAATAAAATTTGCAACCAAACAATGGAATATGAGTCCTCTGAATTAATAATCTCAATCTTATGTTACAGTCTGCCTAATTAAACAAGCCTTAATTGAGTCAGACAGTCAATCCAATGGCTAATCCCATGGATTATTAATCCCATCACTATTACTCCAACCAATCAAACAAGCCCTACCAGTATCATATACCATTGTATACCATAGTAAAGCCACTCCATGAAATGTATGCCTTCAAAATATTAGAAAGAACACAATATAAAAAATTGATTAGTATAAATGATGTAAAGCTATGAAGCACAGACACCTCTCCGGAGGTGTCTGACACGTGTCGAACACGGACACTAACACGCGCTGGACACATGTCGGACACGCTAGAAAGAGTTGAACACACTGGAACACTCTGGACACATCGCGGACACATTGGGACAAACAAGGGACACATTGAGGCTACGCTATGGGCACTCGGGGACACATTAGTAACACACTGAGTACTATTTTTTCTTTTTAAATTAAAATATTTAATTTTTTTATTAAAATAGCATATGATAAATTTGATAAAATTAAATATTTGACATAAAATATATATTAAATATTTAAAAAAATACATATAATAAAAATATATGTTTTAAACATATCCCAATGCATCGTATCCTATATTTTTTTTAAAATTTACGTATCCATGTCGTGTCGCCGTGTTGTCCGTACTTCTTAGAGGTAAAGACACAAAGTTAACCTACCAATTTAGTATCTCACAAGTCACAAATAAAACTGTCAAGGGTTAAAACAGAATATAAGATTGGAAAATGTCTCGTAGCTCAAATTTTGTGGCTCAAAAGTGGCTCAAATGGCCAAAACGACGTCGTTTTGGCCATTTTTATGTTGTTCTGTACTCAAAACGACGTCGTTTTTGACCATTTGAGCCACTTTTGAGCCACAAAATTTGAGATACGTAGCATTGTCGTATAAGATTTTAGAGAGGCTAGACTGCATAGTATCACACTTCACTATGTGTGCATATATAGATTGAAAACTTGATGTACTAAAAGATGAGATTTTAGAGAGTGAAGAGCATTATTACCACTTGGATGAGAACTTCTCGTAGGCTTCAGTGACTTGCTCCATGGAACTATACCTCTTGAGCCCCAAAACTGAAATTACAAAAATTGATTGTTATGAAAAGTAGATAGTGAAGAAAGAGAGAGAGAGAAGAGAAATTTTGATAGTGAGGGAGTGAGTGTGACCATCGTAGTGAGAAGGAGGGTAGGAACGAGGAAGGATCAGAAGCTGATAGAACATGGATAATGCGAAGAGAATCAGAGGAAACCAGTATGCTTTCAGCACAGACACTGGTGACGATTTCGCCATTGGAATCTCCGGAGAAACTCTCGTCGCCAGACTGGTTTTTGAGAGAGAGGGAGAGAGGGAGAGAATGAATGAATGAATGAGGGGTCTTCAGGATCGCGATCGTTCTAGTTTCGGGCCTTTTTTTGTAATATATAACAAATAAGGGTTCTAAAAAGATTCTAAAAACTGGACTCACCCGTTTGGCTTGAACCCAAGAAAATAATATATAAACAAATAAATGATAAATTAAGGTGAGTTTGAGAAAATTGAGTTTTTGGGTTTGCTTTTTTTTTTGGGAAAATCGGTCTAAGGTCCCTATCCAACTTTTAGTAATGGATTAGGTATATAAACAAATAAATGATAAATTAAGGTGAGTTTGAGAAAATTGAGTTTTTTGTTTTGCTTTTTTTTTAATGAATTTTTTTAATATTTTAGGTAATTTTTTTATTTTTTTAGATACACTTAATTTAAAATATGCTTATATTTTAGGTAAATTTTTTATTTTTTAAATATACGTAATTTAAAATATGCTTAAAAGTATAATGTTTATGAAAAAAAAATTAAAGATTCACTAAATATAAAATATAAAAAATATAAAAATTCAATATATTTTTGTATTTAATGAATTTTTAAAAAAAATTGTACAAATTTTTTACTTTTTAAATGCATTAAGATTAAGGGGATCAAAAAAAAAATTTAAAAAATGATTAAAATATTGTAAAAAATTATGAAAAATATAAAAATATGAATTGAAAATTCATAAAATTATTTTTAAAAATTCAAAACCAAATAAGGTGATTTTTTTTTAATTTGAATTAGGGATAAGGATTATACGATGAATTTAAATGCTTATAAATTCTACACCCTTTTTTAATATTGATTTATTAGAATGAAACTAATAGGGAGAGTAGTGAATGATCATTTAAGGTGATTTATGATTTTATTTATAATGTATTTTTTATTATTTTTTAATTAATCAAATATGGTAATAGATTTTTTACGAAATAATTTTTTCATTCTAGTGAACCAAATACCACCTAAGTTTTACAATGTTTATTTTGCCTCAACACTTTTTGAAGATATTGATAGGTAAAAAATAAAAATTAAAAAACTCCTATAGAAATAAGTTTGATTACTAGAACTGTACCATAAGTCTCTTTAAAATAAATAACACAAATCATTTTATATTAATTTAAAAATATTTTTATAACTTATAGGTGAAGGATGATTTCAGATGATTTATGATTTCATTTATAATATAATTTTTATTTTTATTTTAATTAACCAAATATATTTTTTTAATGAAATGATCATTTTAGTATAGTGAATCAAATAGCACCTAAGTTTTAAAATGTTTATTTTGCCTTGACACTTTTTTTAAGTTATTGATAGGTAAAATAAAATTAAAAAAAAGAAAAGAAAAAAAAGAAGAAGACTTATAGGTAAATAAGGTTGACTAGGGGACTGGGTGGTAAGTCTCCTTAAAATAAATAACACAAATCACTTTATATTAATTTTACAATATTTTTTATTAAAAATTTTTTAAAAAAAATTGTACATAAAAAATTAATAAAATATTCTTTTTAATTTTTTAAAACAAATTATACAACCTAAATCTAAAAAACAAAACGGAAGAAAAGAAATTTGGATGCACAGGAAGTTTGAACTCAAGGCCTCTACTAATATGTTTTTGACTAAAATAATCAATAAAAATAAAATAGGTTAAAATAGTTAATAAGATAAAATGTCACATTCAAACTATAATCATTTCACTTTTTCTTTAACAACGATTAATCAACTACAATAAAAAATCAACTATCATCTCAAATACAACTTTTTTAACTAAATTCAAAACAATAACTAAAATAGTCAAGTTTCTAAACATGTCCACAACAAGATAGGGATAATATACACTATTGGGTAATGTTTGATTGAAGTATAAAAAAAGTGTAGCCCGACTTTTTTCGCGCCTCCTTTCGGAAGGCGAAATAAGCCCTACAGTTTGAACTCCCGCGGTTCTGAATCTTATTCCACAAGTGCAATGCGAAATAGATAATCACCAAAGAGTCCAAATCTGGCACATCTTTTGGAAATTCGATTTTGAATTAAATTGCTAAAAATGAACTGTTTTGCCAGATACAAAGTCGCCACCTAGATGTTTTAGGAAATCTAAGAAACTTATAACTTATGCCAAAGGCCACGTGTCCATCATCACCAAGATTGTCTCGATTCGGGAACTTAGGTACGAGAGAGGAAGGTCATGAATTGAGCACCCCCGCTCGCCTGATCAAAGATCGGCCTCTACTAATCATGATATGAATCTTATGTACATTATATGCGTACATTATGTGCTCTTGTTTTGATTATTAGGCTAGCATTACTATATGATGCACACACACATTATGTGCGTACATTAGGCTAGCATTACATTATGAATCTTATGTACATTATATGCGTACATTATGTGCTCTTGTTTTGATTATTAGGCTAGCATTACTATATGATGCACACACACACAAGTGTAGACTAACTTGCAAGAATTGAAACACTTGAATTTATGTTTGTTTTGAAAATTGTTTCGAAAATATGTATCACTTGAAAAAATGATTGCATATAAACATTGCTCAAATTATTCCAATTCAAGCATTCATCCACATGCATTCAAGTAGTTATAGCACTTAAGCAATTAGCCTCATAGCAAACATAAACATGGCAACAATCACACTCATGCAATATGCTAAAGTTAGTAAAGACTCATCTAGTACTCCAAGTCAAAAATAAACATCAGTTAGAAAAATACATGATTCCTAACTATGCAATATGACTAATGCAACACATACGATATGTAACTAATAGGCTCGGCTACTAACATGACATATGATCAATGAAATAGCATGCGATGTAAGCACGTATTCAAAGAAGTATTAAATTAACAATATAGTTAGCATAATGAACCGAGTCTCGGTGCATGCAATACAAGTGGATGCAGACATGAAGTATGCTAATTGAAACATGATGTCCCTAAACTAACCATCATAAGTAGTTTAAATAAAAAGGAGAAAGACGTGGAGTTGGAAGACGTATACATTATTACATTGCGCTCTCACGAATGAGAGTCTGAATGAACTAAGCTAATTAACTAATTAATTAAACCTAAGCTGATTAAGCTAATTATTACAAATCGAAATGAATAAATAGCTAAACTACTTAACTAATTCTTACAAACAATAAATTAACTAACTATTCTGGTTAACTAACAACGGAATTGAATAGCTAGTTAACTAACTAATTAATTACAACACTTTGCAAAATTAACTAGCTACTACTAATTAATTATAACAATTTAAACTTAAACATTCTCGGTACGTGAGGGATGCTCATGTACATGCACATGCTCGGTCTCCACCCGAAAAGCCACTGTTTTGTTTCCGAAGAGCCTCTGTTGCATAATAGAATACATACACTGTTGCCCACTCATCTCTTATTCCAAATTTCTCTTTTCATCAAATTTGATAAAAGAAAATTATTTTCAATATTTCATCTTTTTAAATTTTCATCAAATTATAGTTTGATGAATTCTCAATTTCATCATATGGTTCTCTCTTGATTTGATTAATGAAATTAGGGATGAGCGGGGTCGGTTGCGGCCACGGAAACCTAAATCCGTCATCCGTTCGTCAGATTGGTAGATTGGAGAAAATCAATTCGCATCTGTCCGCTAATCCAGCGGATGTGGATTGAGTAGATTGGCGGATGGATGCGAATCGGTTTGGCAGTTTAAAATTTTATAAATTTTCAACATAATTTAACTTGTGCACTTTCTCAAAAAAAATAAAAGTATTACAATCAATGACTTAAAAAAGTATTATAATCACTATATGCCTCATCCAAAAAAAGAAAGTTTGAAACTTTAGAATATTACAATCACTGCATGCCTCATCCACATATTACAATCACAACATGCATCATTCACATAAAGTATTACAATTTGTGGTTCTTAAAATATAAAAACAATTCAAACCACCAAAAGCATGAACAGAGAAGTAGTAGAGATTGTATGCCTCTGTATTGTTACATCTATTTTCTGTTTTTAAAAACAAAAACCAACTAGCATATATCATCTTTTTTATTTATTATTTTTAGAGGTAGATTTACAAACCAAAAAATATAGATAAATAATACATTTATTTTTTTTCAATTTAAAAAATATATTCAAGTTGAAAACTCTTTTTCAACTGAATATATTCAGTTTTCAACTTGAATATATTCAACAGAATATTTAAACTCTTTTTCAATTAAAAACACAAATAGAATATCTAAACAAATTAAAAACACGAAGTCTTACAAATTATTATGAAATGAAGATAATTTTTTAAATATTTTTTTTTTATCAAATTCAAATTTAATAAAAAATAAAATTATAAATTAGGGACATTCCTATGTCGTCTCTATCAATATTTCGTTTTTAGCTAAAATGGCCAGTGATTTCATGAAAATATTATAGTGACTAGCCAAATATAACTAGTTATTGTATAAAAAATAATTTAACTGTCTTGCATCCCATCATCTTATCCTTTATTTTCATATATTTTTATTTAAATAAAAATAATAATTTGAAGTAAAGTAAAGTAGAGGAATATAGAGCACATTTTCACCCAAAAAAAAAAAAAAAAAAAAAAAAAGAAAAAAAAAAGAAGGAGGTATATAGAACAATGTCAGAAAGAGTCTAGGAACGTACATTTTGAATATATTTATATATTAATTAACATTGCTAGAAAAAATTTTTAGGCCTTGTTTATTAATTATACATTTTAATTAAAAAAAAATTAAAAAATCACTCTCTTTATTTTTCTGTATATCTTGTCGTAAAAGTAAAAAAATTACTAAAATAATATGTTCTCAAATGAGACCTTATTCTAACTTATAGAACATTTCCCCAACAACTTGAACGTAATCCTCTCAATCTTATAATTATATCAGTTGTGTTTGATTCCATTCTCAATATATAATTATGACTCAAATTACAATATTTACATTTGACCCTATTTTAAATAGTAACTCACTCTTATATCAAATAATACAAATTCTTAGATAGAACTCACCATTAAAAATCGAAACACGTCCAAAAACTTAAATTCAAATTCATTTTTGACCAATGTG